ATCTTTTTGGCAAAATTATATGTTTATCACCTAAGTCTTAGGAGCATGATAGTGAGCTGGGTTTGATCCAAAGATGTTTGAGGATTAGTTGGAAAACACTTAATTGAATAGAACACTTTAAAACACTTCAAGCTCAAGTTAAAGTGTTGGCTTTCTAGATTTTAGGAGCACACCTTAGGTGAGAGTTTATCTACCTAATTTTCAAAGACACTGAAACTAGGCACCTGACCCTAGTTTATAAGTTTGTTAAAGCAATAGACAGGATATGCACCAAGCTGTGGTTCATGACTAATTTAATTAAATCAAATAGTGAAATTCTCGTCATAACTTAACCTAAAATGAAACCCAATTCTCTGGATTTATGCTTGAATCTTACACTCAATTCCTCCTGGCAATTGGGGACATTCCCAATGTCACATATAAATCACCCGCCCTTGGTCCTTTATATGTGACGTTGTGTTTTGTCTTGTTTGTCTTTTTCCTACGATTTGTTTCGAGTCTCTGTGAGTCATTTTCAGTTTTCCTCAGGGCTTTCCATATGCTACTCCGTTATTTATTATATTATATATAAACACATGTTTGTCCTGCTAGCTGAATTTATTTACTGTATTGTTACCTGCGACGCTGATCCCATTTACAGGTGCAACAATAACAAGAAACTCTGATACCCAAAGTTTACAGTATATTTATAGCACTGTACTACATTTCCTTTATACAGTTTTTTTTACCGCACCTTATACTATTTTCATTTACTTCCTTATATCATAGTTAGTTTATGTATGCTTTAAATTAACTACAAAACTTCTTGAATATAGCCTAGTTTAAGAGGTATACGGTGGTAAGTCACCAAATAACAATATTGCATGCTCACATATAAGATATTAAACCTGAAACTATTACTGCATGGAGCATGAAGCAAATCTTCGTGGGCAGCACGACCGTGAAGTAGCAGACGAAAGATGACGACCTACAACAGTACAACAAGTCAACTAAACATTTTTTTTCTTAGTTTAAATAACACAACTCATAAGACTTTGAGGTAGTTTGCTTAGAGCAACATAAATCCTGATTTTATCTTTAGACTTTTGCACAACCCTATTGTGCAATTGTAAATCTTAACACTTATTAGGATTCCGAGGTTGTCGTACGGTACGGTGTAAGTCCTCCTATCTTTCTAGGCTATTTGCACGATTGTATATCGTGCGAATGTAAGTCCTAAATTCTAAAATAAATTGTAAGATTAAACATTGATTAATATCATTTTAAAGACATAAAGCCAAACAATAGGATAGTTGGGAGTTCAGCGGGGTTCTCCTCGAATTTGTGATATCCCCTACTTTTCGTTCATTTGGTTTCCTTAAAATAACTGTTCTCATTTGAACCACTTGCATTTGACTTTCACGTGTCCAATCTTGGAAACCTAAACTTAGAAATTTTGAAGGCAGAATCACTGATCTTAATTGAGAGTCTTCTTAAGTGACCCTAGTTATTTAAGATGATCCTAGTTATTTAAGATGTAATTAATTATAGGGGTTTGCCTCTATAGGGAACTTGGAACCCAGGTAAAATAAACTCTATCTAATCCTTATATTATGTAGGGGAACTTGCCGGCCATACATAAAAAATTTTGCAGACCAAACAGATGTCATGAAATTCTTTCGTTTGGGTGGTTGAGCCTACTACAAGTGATATGTTTATCCTTCAGGATAGTGTATTACATGTGGTATCGCGCTCATCCGTCTAGACTATCAAATATGTGAGTTCCATTCAGTCTCACTTTTCTAAATGTAAATATTATCATTTTTTAAAAAAATTATAAATCAAAATTACATTTATGTCTATATATACTTAAATTCAAATTCAAACCCATTTTTCGAAACACCCGGCCGACAGGGTTCTCTCTTGTATTCCAACTTGTTCTTCTATCATCGTAGTTTTTGACTCCAGGCTTTATTTGATATCACTGTCAGCTCATTGTTACTCATTCAATACCGACGGGCCCTAGTCTAATTCTATAAAAAACATTTAAAAAAATAAATATAATAAAACCTTATATGATAGATTTTAGCACAATAATATAGGCAAAGCAGACAACATATCTCATATAAAATAAATCATATGGACTTAGAGTTTTCAGGTCACAAATATTGTCCTAGTATCGAGTCTACGCATAAAGCAACCGACCTAGGTGTCTGTCTGCGCTTTGGAGAGGGGGGAATGACCACGTACAGGTGTTTTGAAATTACTCACTTGTAATTGAATATAGCATCAAAGAATAGTATATCGCCTCGAGGGACGAAAATACTTCCCTATGATGGATCTAACCCTGAAGTGATTGTTTCATTATTCCGTGGGGCTGCGTGAATGAGTTTTTCCCCTGCCTTAAAAGGACATGATTTATTTTAATTATGGGGTTTCGTATCTCTAAAGAGCTAAGCCTCTTTAGTTAATTACGTCATTGGGAAGAAGAACACTTGATTAAATCAGTGACTATTTATTTTTGCGGAATACAATGGTAGATATCAAGACTGCTATGTGAAATTTCAAGTGAAATAACTCAAAGTTAGAACATTTATTATCAGAAGCCAACAAAGGAAAAGTAGGGAGCATTGGATATTGTGAGACCCAGTGATTACTCCAAGTCTATCTTATAATTGGGCTTTCTAATTTTGAAAATAAAATGATGATTATTATATGAGTTGACTAAATTTTAGAAAGTTTGGACTTGTGTTCGACGAGACGAGCCATCAAATAGCTTAGGAAAAGTTAGTTCCATGGCAAGACCTACAAAACTACCTCAGAACCAATGCTAAGGTGAGAATTCAGCAAAATTTTCTGATAATTAAAAAATTCTCCCATGAATTGGTTTTGCAGCAATCTAAGTTCGATTAGATAATTCAAAATTGTTGGTGACAATCAGGAGCAGTACTTCTCCTTATCCCCTCTCGGGCGTTTAAGAAAGTTCGGCAATCAAACATATTTAGTTTTCTAAATCAAATGCTTAGCCTAGTTGTTTGCATTAATCTCAAAGCAATATTTTTATTCTCCTGAGTTGATGTGTTTATCCTAATTTTTCCACCAAGAATTCTTTTGAAACTCAAATATCATAATGAATTTTAACTTCTCAGCTAACTAGGCTAAATGTAAATTAAGACTTGAAGGTTAAAACATCACTTTATAAAAAGTGAAAACTTTCAAATCCTACGTTACTAAATCAATGAAGAAAAACATTTCTACTCCCTAATCATACTTGGAAGCAATATCTTAAACATTTCATTGGTAGAAAATATCAAAAGCAAGAGTTTGAAAGTATAGAATCTGTTGGAATTCACCAAGAAGAATGCAAACTTGCTGTTTTCCTTCTTCAAATGATATATTGAGTTTACAAGCACAATTACACGCTCAAAAAGCCTTGCAATAACTCCGAACTATCGAATCTGTAAGGAGGCTTCCATACTATCGAATCTTCAAGGGAACTTGCCCCAACTTTACAAAACTTCTACGCACTCATCCCCTTTTCCAAATAGCCTGTACGGGTGATTCTCCATTGGTTTTATACTTGCTGTGTGATGTTGTTTTGGCTCAAAACAAAATCACCATTATTCTTGCATAGTTGAATGAACTTCTCTGCAGTGTATTATCCATAGTTTTGCACTATAGAGAAGTTGCAACTATTGTGTAGTGCTTTTCTATTTCCTGAAAATTATAGTTTTGATGTGCCTGATTTTTGTAATAAATCAGTTAAAATGAATTCTAGGTTGCATGGTTATTTCAATTGAAATTCAAAGACAATATAAATCATAATACTCAAAATTGTATGTTTTTAAAGTCAAATCTTTTTTTTTTTTTTGAAATTTATGCATGTTGCGGGCCATAAATAAATACATTGTTATTAAAAAAATGTTTTACGAAAAGTAGAATCTGTTTTCACATTGAATTCTTATTTTACAATCTCTAGAAATGATTTTAAATTGTTTTAAATTCTGTAAAGAACACTATTAGCTTGACTTTTGGAGCTATTTTTAAAGTGAAAGTAATAGAAACTCTGAATCCGTTACACCAAAGTTCTCCGAAAAAAGTCTATACAAAGAACTCGAATCAATAGAGTGAGGTTCTAAGCCTTGGTTAGGTCTTGTCAAAATCATCAATCTAACAATAAAGCATTTCTCATTTAGTACCATATTTTTATTTAAATTTTAAATCGCCCCTGACTATTCTTGTTTGATTAATTTAATCTCAAAATATCACATTTCTCTAACTTAAATATCACATTTCTTCCGTTTATCTCTCAGTTTTACAAAATTTATCCAAAATGATCCCTATCGTATAGAGATTGTGATACAAAATTAATATTATTTTAACATAATATTAAATCGATTTCAATTAAGTCCCTTAAGGGTCATTTTCGATCAATTTTCCATATTCAAGGAAAAAAACTGACAACATACAAATAATCAGGGGACTCTTTTGAAATTCTACTCTCATAGTTTGGAATGTCAGATTCACGGGTAACTCTGTGGCCCTGTCTCTAGGGTTTTTTCCCAATTACACTATTTGTAGTAAATTAATGTTATCATTGTAGCTAATCAGAGAGAAAGTGCCTGGAAGTTGATCAAATGCGGGTTAATTTTTGAAATGCATTGACTTTGTTTTCGTAGAAATGGCTACAGGTGGATCTACCATTTAGGAGCAAGAGACGAATAATGCTAATGTAATTTGAAGCTGGCCCTTTTTCCAGATGAATTGCTCTTTTATTATGTATGGCTTTCAAGGAACTGAATTTTTTTCCTATTATTGCACGGTTGCTTTTTGTTACTAGGTGATAAGCTTGTTCTGTTTATATTTCTAATGGAAAAATTTTGGTTTTGGAATCTAATAACTTTGTCAATGATTATGTTCTAATTTTGATGGTTATATCAATAGTATTTTTTTTCGGTAAAATAGTACATCTAAATAAATAAAAGAGAGTTTTTAGGTTGTATTTTAATGCTAATTTGTAGGAAACAATGAGCGCGGGCGCATGGTATCTGGCCAAACTTTCACAATTGGTAATATTTTAATTGCTCTTTTATTTTTTTATATTGTTGCCCTTTTATGCTCTTTTGATGGAGTGCTTAGATTCGCACCCTGGGTTTTTATCTTACAAGATTGTTACATTGTTGAGTTTTCCATAGTTGATGACAAACTATTTTGACAGGGCAGCTATGCAATTACTTTTCAAGGATTTATAGATCATGAGTCAAATATTTGGACCATTTTGTTTTCTGCTTGTTTCCTTTATATTCTATCAAATTATTGTAATTGAATGTCAAAGACTTTTAAAACATCAATGCCAATGTTCATCGAGCTATTAGTTCTGTTTTTCCTTTTTTCTTTTGTTTGCTTTTCTTTTTTTCCTTTAGAAAACAATGCAAGTGTTGAATGGTAAATAATTGCTGTCTGAATTTGGGTGCTTCTGATTGTAATGACTAAAAAAGAATTGATCAACCTGTGGGTTTAGATTTTTGAAGCACACGTGAAACATATGTGAAACGTGGACCCAAAATAGATTTTATCATAGAAATAGTGTTATACTTTAGTCAACATTCGGCTCTATTACTAAAGATGCAATGAATATATCCTTTTTTAGTCCAGGATCATTGACTCTATTCAACATTCGGCTCTATTACTAAATGCTGCCAACCACGGTCAGCCTTCCGCTCTAGGTTGATCAATTTTAGTCATTACAATCAGAAGCACCCAAATGATCAACTTATTGACCCTATGATAATTCCAACCACCATATGGTCAACTTGACAATCATGGTCAATCTTTTGGTCAACAAATCAATATTGGGTCACCTTGATTAAACTATTATATGTATGAGATAGGTTCGGTTTCCTATTTTAAAATTAAAATGCTACTTTTCAAAATAATAAATATATTAAATTAAATATTTTTTTAATTAGCGATCGACAAAACTTTGTGACCTTATAGAAATGCCTTTAAGACCCTCGTAGGTCTGTCACTTTATAGGATGATTTTTAGAAGTCTATAATATTCCGGTGGAATTGGAACATAAATCTTACTGTGTAGTTAAGTAATTCAATTATAATTTAAAAGATATAACAGAGAAGATTACTATAGTTGAATGAGTTGGAAGAAATTAGACAGGAGACTTATGAGAATGTCAAAATCTATAAGGTGAGAATGAAAAATTAGTTTGATCAAAGGCTGATTATTAAGGAATTTCAACCTGGACAAGAGGTTCTATTGTAAAGTTTGCGATTAAAATTTTTTTCTTGAAAATTGAAGTCTTGGTGGCCTGGATCATTCTCTATAATAAAAATATATTCTTTCGGAGTTGTAGAGATTCAGTGTAGAAAAACCAACAATACTTTCAAGGTTGATGGTCGAAGGTTGAAGCTATACCTAGGAGGAGATAGGAAAGGTCGTAAGAAAATCCTGATGTTGTTGTCATCCTGATAGTAGATCTGGCATCGCCTAGCTAAAAACTACAAACCAAGCACTATCTTGGGAGGCAACCCAAGTGCTTTCTTAGGATTTGAGTGTTTTTGCATGTTGAGTCAAGTTTGTCATTGTTGTGTCTTGTGGTCTTGTTTATCGTCGTGTGTTGTTTTCTAGTTGATTTGGATCTTCTCGGAGTACTCAATCTCTACCTATGGGGTGGGAAGAAAGAGAAACAAATTTTGGCTTATGGAATGAGAGGCCTTCGCACCCGTGCTACAAAGTGGGCGCCCAACACCCACCCTTCGTCGCAAAATTAGCCTATAACGGGCGGTGAACCCGTGCCTACATCTCGACTGCGTTGCGTGCCCTAGGCACTCCAGCGCACTCGCGCCTGGAACACAGCGTACCCGAGTCCGTTCACAGTGCACAAGTGTGCTCGCACCTTGATCGTGGCTTACCCGCACCAGCCTTTTATAACGCCGGGTTTGGGGGAAGCCGACATTTTTTACACATCTCGCTTTCGCCAAAAATCTTCGGAGTTGTTCGTCACGCCTTAAAACCATCTCCAGCCACCGCTAAACCCTGGAAAAAGCTCATATATGTGGTCCTTAGCTCCGATGAGGTATGATTTTCATGTTTTGTGTTATTTTTCACCGTAGATTGTGATTCTTTCCTCGTACATTTCGTTACAAGGTCATGACATCGAAGACCAAAGGTAAGTAGAAGGATGCATCCTTTGACGCTATGAAGTTCGTGAGTGTGGATGCTTCTAACTGCTTTAACAATCTTCTGGCCTTAAGGAAAGTGATCCCCATGAGACTGTTTTGCAACCTGATGGTCATATTGTGGAAATCATTGAGGCGAGTACCTAGCGGCGTCTTTGCTACCAATATACTCCCGTCGTAGACCCCTTTGTCTGTGAATTCTTCGCTAATGCGAAGGAACTCGTGGACGACAAGGTCTATGAGCGGGGGAAATGGGTGGTTTCGATTTTGTTATGATCAACCTCTTTTTGAAGACCCTTGAGGTACCACCATGTGGCTATTCTCCTTTTATGGTTCTTCATTTTGACGAAATTTGTTATTTTCTCACTGATGGTCAAGCCCATTGTCGGGGGCGAGAGGGGAAAATTATAAATTTCTCTAGTTTTCCAATAAACAAGGAGTCCAAGGTCTCACACTACATTTGTGCCAGGATCATGCTCGTCACAAACCTCATTGAAGCCACCAAGGACCGTGTTGCTCTGAACTTTTGCATTCAGAGGCATTTTAATTGACAGTCTCACTCTTGGCTTCCTCCCTGGGCCACATCATCAGTGGTGGCACGATTGTGGGACTGGGTCTTCCTCACCAATTCACCAGTTTGTGCACTCTTGCTGGTGTGCCAAGGGAGAGGTGAGGAGCTCTTGCATCCCCCGATGGCCATCACTCGAGAGATCATCTAGGCCTATGAGTGTAACTTGACTCGAGAGGGGAGAGAGAGCTCGTGAGATCGAGGTGCGAGCTCGTCGAGGCAATAGAAGTCACCATTGATTGCCAAGACCGTGGGACTCTAGTCCAAATGGATTGATGATTTGGCGTAGAATTTGGTGTACTTGGTTGGGAGGTTCACTAGATTCACCAGCGGACCGTACACTCCTCCAAGCAGCAGCGACAGTATGAGTACCAACAACAGTAAAATGTTGTCTCAGCGGAGATTTATTGGTGACAGGGTTGGTTGGACATACCAAAGCCTTTAGTATACCCACCAACACTACCATATGAGGTGTACGAGTCTGGCGCATGGTACATTTATGATGACGATGATGAGGATGATGATGAATAGTTAGGATTTGATTTGGTTGCATTTATGTTGGATTTTTTTTTATTTTTGTTGCACAAGGATATTCTGATTTCCTTTGATTGTTGGATTTTGATGGACTTATTGTTGATATTTTGGATATTTGATGTTGACACTATTGATTTTTATTTTATGACAGTTTTCGATTATTTTTTAATATTTGTCCTTTCTTGAAATGTTAGGTATACATGCATTTTTGGAGCTTCTCAATTACACTTGTTTTCCTATTATTACTGCATGCCTGTGATAGTTCATTCGCTTTTTTGCTGCTTCTGCTTTTATTGATCATTTGTTCTGTGAGAAGAGCCGGATATAAAATAAGTTTGGGGGAGGGAATTAATGCATGAGGCTGCCTGACAATAATCTTATTTCTTTGCTCAAATTTCATTTGACATCTTTGTGTATCCTTGTCAATTGAAAGTGGAAGGTAACAAGTGTTAAGTCAATGTGAAACGTAGCTTATGTTGGGATTGAAGGGTTTTGATAACATGCTAATACTAGATTTTAATCTTTTGCATACAATTTTCGAAACATTTGAATAAGTATGCATATAAAACAAAGTAATTAATCCATAGTTTTTTTGGTGGAAAGTTTTAATTCCACCAATAGAACTAACCTGATTTCTACTTTATTTATACGATCACCAGAACTTTCATTAAGGGTCAAGTAAATTTTTAACTCGAGGAGCACTAGAAAATCCGAATTCTTAAAAACCAGCTTAACCAAATACAGTAATTTTCCTGGAAAATGAGAAAGAAAAGGGAAAAAAAGAAAAAGAAAAAAAATGAGCAAAAATTCATTACAAAAGCAAAAGCTGAAAATAAAAGAGTTGAATGAAAAATCAAAGTAGAAGAAGCTTGAGGTTAAGTATTAGAGTAATCCAACTTTATCTTCTAGCTGTCTCCCTAAATTAAAACAGTAATCTCTTCCTTGATGAAATTTGGGTATCCTATAAAAACAAATAGAATAAGGGTAAAGTCTCTTGATTGAATAGGATTTTGGTACTTAAAAACTTGTGCAAGGATGAAAAGGATTATCACCACATTGATTCAATTGGATTGAGAAGATTTGTGTAAGGATGGAAATGATTAAAGGAAGGTTGAACTTATTGCCAAAGCACGGAAAACTCCATTAAAGCTAAACAAATTCATACCCATGCTAATAAAAGGTAAAGATACTCCCATGAAAGGTCAACTATTATTCTCTAAGTTTGGAAAATTTGTTGAGCTTAGTGATTGAATTACTTGAGGGCAAATGATGGATAAGTTTGGAAAATTTGATGTGAGTGAAATATGTGATATATTATTGGCACGTTTGCTCATATTTTTCAATTTTTTATGCTGATATTATGTTTGAGAAATGCATTTTTTTCTTATTGGTGCGGGCGACGGGTTGGATGAGATTTTTAACAAAAATGATGAACTTAAGCACATGAATGCTGATTTTGGCCCAACGCCCCCACATCAACCTTACGGCGCGCCTGCACTAAAATACAGTGTGGTCGAGCCATTTTAAAACACCCGCGCCCAAAACAAAACGTGTTTACACACCCTTTCCTTGTGAAATTGACACGCGGACTCTAATACCGTATATTAATTGACTCTTTTACTTTCGTGATTGATTGAATTACTTTGCGGTAACTTTTTGAGCATGATATGCTAAAATGATTGTTGGAGAATCTCGTCCCTTTGAAAATCAGCGAAAGTAATAGAATTTTGTGGAGACAATACTGACACTATGTGAAGATGTGTTGACCATT